AGGATGGAGAGAAAAACACCCATGAAAAATGGCAAAAGAGAGGCCTCATCCACTTCTCCTCACCAACTGGGTCCCCACTGAGGCAGGCTGGGCATGAATGGCACGGAATGATGTGACAGGGCTATCACTGTGTCACTGTCTGTCAGGCTGAACCTCTGGGTCTGCATTTTCCAGCCCACTGAAAGCTGAGGTGAAGCAGTGAGAAGTGGCAAAGCTGCAAATTGCAAGTCAGCCCCAGCAAGACCCGCATTTTAAAAATGTCCTTCTAACATTTTCCTTGCCAGCAGCAGTAAGTTGCTTGGCTGGGAAGAGGGATAAAAACACCTTTGGTCTGTGTAAAATTTAGGTTAGGAAACTTGCAAGTAGTCCTTGGCTTTTTTTTAGAAGCAATGAAAAATGTTGAGCTGCTGAGTAATCACTTTGCTATAACTAGAATTTAATATTACAACTAACTGTATAATTACTGTATATAGTAATGTTGTTATCCAGGCAACTTGGAATAGAGTGTTATCCTTTTAATTTATATTCTGTTACTCAAAACGGTATTTTTAAAATATAGTATATTAGCCATTGGAAGAAAGATTAATAATGGAATAAAAATATCAGCAGAAGAAACACATGTTTTCCTTCCAGGTTCAGGTGGATGAAAATCAAAATATTAACATGTTAAAACTGTACTGTAGATAGAAAAAGTTTAATTTTCTCATGAATTTGGCATATAAATTGCTACTAGGCAACCCACTTTTATGCTTAAAGTTTGAATCTATCCTGTGTGCCAACATGTCAACACTAATTTTTAAACTTTCCTACTCATTGGAGGGGAAATGTTTAAAAAATGCATCTTTTTTCCACCGCCAGCTTAGTCCTTAATTGTTTCATGTCACTAGAACCTTAAGAATGTATATGTCACATATACAGTTGGCCATTACTAATGACTTTATTGTTAATAAAATAATGGGTGCATATGACAGTCCCAGGTTGTTGTGTGATGGTCACAAGTACTCAGTCGCAGACACTGGAGAAACTGTGATGGATGACAGGAGAAATGTGCTTTGTTGGGTTGTATCTGCTCCCAAATCACCCTCAGGGACAGTTTCACAAAGGTGCAGAAGGAGGGTTTGATGTACAATTGAAGAGCTGAGTTCAAGGACTGTGGATGCGTTTTTGTGGTGCTGGTTGAGCAGCCTGGGTCCATCCGAGTGATGTCAGACAAAAGAACTTTGCTCCTGCAGGACTCTGTGTGTGGAGTGTGTGAAACGTTGTTGTTCTTCTGGCAGGAGAAGAAGCTTTGTCTTCATTGCTGTGTCTAAAACGGGATCTGGGGCTTGTGTAAACTTCAGTGAAATCCAAAGTGAATCCATCAGGCGCCATGAAACCATCCCAGCTTCACCCTGCTGGAGTCTGTCCGGGTGCTCTGGTGCTGTGGTGTCGTGACGAGGGAAGAATGAGATGCTCAATATGAGAATCAGCAAACTTCGTTTATTGATCATTACTAATAGCTTAATATACACTTTATAATTAGCTCATACATATTGCAAAAGCTAAGCTCATAGTTGGTTCTGCTTAAATGTTGACTTCATCCTTTACTCCCTAACATTGTTGACACTTAGATGTTAATTCTGTCTCTCACTCCCTTCCTTTGTTGACACAGGTGACTTTCAGTTGCTTTTTGTTTTGCTAATCACAGTGTCTTGTTTACCAGCCAACTAACACGTACAAGGGCACTGTAACTTCCTTATCTCAGATCTTCTCACAGGCATAGACAGGCCGTGTTCTATACTCTAACAGCTCATCCATAGCTTTAGCTATATCCATATGTCTCTGTCTTGCTAGCAAATCCTCTACACTGCGGCACGGTGTCATCCAGGGAGAATTTGAGCAACAAGGAACTGGGCTACAAGGCAGGTTTTACAAAACTGCTCCCCCTCCACAAAACCTCAGAAAATAAGTTTGTCATCTGTTACCAGAAGAATCACTGAAAACACCCTTTGTGCCACTCTGTGAACGCCAAAATAATGGAATTGTGTGGACTTGTACTGTGAGTAAATCAGGGATTGTTTATAGGAGTTCCCAAATTAGAAGCAAATCCAGATTACTCATCTGTGGTAAAATGTTCTGTGAGCAGGACTGAAATGTGCTGCACACACACGTTAGAGCACATCCTGGAAATATGGAAGATTGGAAAACCGATTTCAGATTTAATAGCATTTCAGTTTTAACAGTTCATTTAAAACTTGAAATAAAAATATGTAAATCCAAGGAGTTTCCCTTTAAAAATTACTTAAAACATTGATTTTCTGGGGTTTTTGTAATTCCATCTTATCTAGGTTTTGTAGAGGGCTCAGATGTGAATATTCAGTCTGCTACTTGTGACAATGCCTGACTTCACTTACAGTATTTTTAATACTTATATATTGGTTAATGTCATTCTCATACCTGTGATCTTAGACTTGTGTGATTCTGCTGTTGTTTATAACAGAGAATTTCCTTTGACTTCACTGTGAGAGCTCTCCATGGAATGATGAACAGTAGTAATAATATTAATCATTTATAGAGCACTTTATATGTTCAAAATACAGGATAATCTTTAAATGAGCTCAGCTTTGCTCTCAGATATGTGAGTGAACTCTACATTGATTGTTGTAGACGGCGGGATAAAGACACTTTAGACCACAGAATTGATCCATACTTATCCAACTTTATTGCTGCGTGCTTTGTGCTTATAAAGGTCTAATGATTAGCCTCATACATATTACAAAAGCTAAGCTCATCATTGGCTTCTGATTACCTAAAACATATTTGCGCAAATGCTGTGTGAATGCTGTTTTGTTTCATACTCTTATAGTTACTTGTTTGCTATTTGCTCTGCTTTCCCATCCGCTTTATTCTATTCTTCTGTCACGTATGCAGTTTCACAGACACAGTGACCTTCCAATAGTTTTCCCTTACCGTGGGACCAGAGCTATAGCATCTTTCTCGTGTCCTCTTTCTATCAACCACCTTTCTGTGATACTCTCGACAATTGATTTGAAAAATATTGTTACCTGTCATACGATTTATTTTTTTTATTTTCTAGTCTTAGTGGGTATTTTGGAAAGAGTTTCTTTATTTTTGTGGGACAGAATATTGTCTTATCTTAAGTTTGAGATCTTAAAAGGTTTGCAAAGGACACGCAGGTTGCTGTGGTGTCCTCTGATGATTTCAGCTGATAAACTGATTGCTTCCAATCCTTTTATCTGTGAGGGGACTGCAGGCCGTGCTGGAAAGCAGGTGTTACTGCAGGGGACTTTTTCTGCTGTATGCAATGGAGTTAGCTTATAAACTCCTAAGGTAAGCATTTCTCTAGTGAATTCAGAAATTTTTACCAGTGTATCATAGGCATAAGAATTAACACTAATATTTGGAGTTTGCAATTATCACACAACTTTTCTAGAAGATCAGTAATTTCTGAGAGCTGGCTCCTGTTTGCAGTATAGAGCAGTCAGCTCTGCAGCTGCATGGTTGCTTCATGTGTTGGTTGGTTTATTTTCCAAGATTTACAAGTACCATAAACTGTTGCCAAAAGCAGGAGAAATTATGAATAATATTTTTCTCCCCAATAGCCAAAATTTCGTGTGTGTGTGTGTTATTGGTATAAATAGCGAGTTGTCTTTTGAGTAGGAATAAGACTTAGTTCCTAAGGACAGTGAATTGTAGCAGACACAAAGTCTAACATTTGTTCTTCTCTTCACTTTCTTGTTTTTTCCAAACAGATAAAGCACATTATTCTGTGGTAAATGATACTCAGATGTTCTACAGCAGCAAGGAATTCAATATATGGGTACCCATTGAAGGCCTGATTCCATTTTCTAACTCCACAGTGCAAGTGAATGCATCCAACAGCCAGGGCAGCTTGATAAGTGATGCTGTAACAATTGTCAGGCCTCCAGGAGGTGAGTATGAAAAAGTGCTTTTTCTGTGCATGTAACAATTCCACAAACACTCTATTGAACAAAATGTTATTTTTTATCTCAGCTGAGGACTGGAAGTTCAGAAGAATATGTTTGCATTAGTAGTTCTCACTACCAAAGTTGTTCCTTTTGGCTTCCAATTTGTCACACTGTTAACTTTAGGAACTAGAGAATGAAAACAGTTGTATAGTTAACATATTGTGAAGGTGAGAGGTGTATTATGTACTTCATTTTTTTCCTGTGAGTGGTGGTGTATTCTATCAGGGACAGCTGATCTAGTCCAAGAATATAGAGAGACTCAACTGCATTTTGTAACCTGTTTTAGAATAGAAGTTGGAAGTGCTGACAAGGAGGACTTAGAGAACTATCGACTTAGAGAACTTTTTTAATAATAGTGATAGAAACCATTGGCAATATATTGAACCGGAACCCACAAAGTTCTTTAGTTGTAAGAAAGTCAGTTACAATGTGCTGATTTACAGTGACTGAGGCTCCAAACCCCTCTGGCTGTTATCTTCATAACAATTGGAAATGAGAGAACTGAGCAAATACACCCTGAACACTGTGAGTGTTTTGTTCTGTGGTTTTGTTTTGCTTGGTTGTTGTTTTTTTTGTCAAGAAAGCTTTTCCATTTCTAGCTGGTGTAGGTGTGTCCCTTTTGCATTCCCTTTTCATGGCCATCCTGGAGAATTAGCTTTGGTTGAATAAATGCCAATGGAAACAATTAATTTAAGCCAGTTTTGAATTGTAATGTGAGAACCCAACAGCTCTTGATCTTGAGAGATGTGTAGGTGTAGCTGTGGAGTAAGAACAGTGTAGAGTGACATCCATACCATTTTAAAGGAAAAGAAAAACAAAAACAAAGAAAAGAGCAATCCCATAAACCTTACAGCTCAAAAATATAGTTAAACTGGAAACAGTTTGCTTGCAAACAGATGAATTAGGTTTGGGTCCAAACCAGCAGAAAGACTTCAGGAAAGTGAGTAAATCCAATACAGAGTTTGTGTGACAGATTACTGAGAAATAAGGAAAAGATCCATTTCCAGCACATTTTATACTTTTCCAATTTTATTGTCAAGTTACACCTAATATTAACAAATAGACTTTGTTATAGAATAATAAAACTGCATCTGAGTTTCATTACTCATTTAAGACTGAGCAGTAAGACAATGTTATTTCTAATTCCAGTGCCACATTTTAATTTTGCACAGCAAAATTTGGTAGTGAAAATGTTACCAAATGACAAAGTAAAGGATCTTTAAAGATAAGCAAGGCTGTGCACAGGTTTATGACAGCCATTCAGATGGACTTTCTTTCATCATTAGATTGTTGTTGATTACAATTAGAAAACTTACAGCTTTGAAATTATCTTTTTTATGATCTTGTGGTGGTTTAAAAGCAATACCTCGTTGGTTAAATAGGTTTTTAGTTCATGCTTTCTTTCAGTTAATGCTCTGAAAACATATTATCCTGATTTACACATAAAATCCTGCTGAAAAGCACGTGGCATTCACTGGGATATGTGTGTTTAAGTAGAATGAAATTAGCAGTGAGAGTTATTAAAGAAATCTTCCATACTCTTGTCCATGGACTGTGATCTGTAGTGAAAGGAACACTGAAGCCAAGAGGCCTCCTTAGAGGAATGAATATTCAGTAAACACAGCAAACTGATGTTAGGTCAGAATTAATTAGGAAAAAAGATCAAACCTGGATATACAAGATTTTTCCCTGTGAGACAGATTTGCTTTTCCATTTTGCTTAGTATTGCATTGAGAGTCACATCATAAAACTTGTTTTGAAAGTTTTCCTTTATGTCAAATTTCAGTCCTTTGGATACATCAGTTGTTATTCTCTCTTCTCTTTCTCCTCCTTCTTTTTCTCTCTCTCTTTTCTCTCTCTTCTTTCTCTCTTTTATTTCTCTCTCTCTCTCTCTCTCCTCTCTCATCTCCTCTCCTTCTCCTTTTTCTCTTCTTTGCTTCTTTCCCTTTTTTCCACCAGGATTCTTTTCCAACTGGTTTCTTTTTGTTCTGTGTCTTCTGTTTCTTCTTCATTTTTCTTCTCTTACATTCTGTTATGTCACTTCATGTGAATTTAAAAATGAAAAAAAAATTAAAAGTATTTTTTTAAAAACTCATTGTGAAAAAAATAACATTTAAAAATATTCCAAATTCTCAAATATTTGCATGATATCTATCTCACTTCAGGATAATATAATCTCTGATTTTGATGGAGAGCAGGAAATGTTTTAAACAAAGTTCTTAAATGCAAAATTGCCACCATTTCCTTTCTAGAGGCAGTTTAAGGAGACAGCAGGATAGAGCAGGGAGGAGGAAAGAGCTCTCCTACATCTCTCATCACTGACCCAGCTAATTAAATAGTGTCAGTGGCCAACTTTGTATTGTCCATTCCAGTTCCTTTTGTCCAGACAGATGATTTCATGGGGATACAAAGGTAGGATTGCAAAAGTGCTTGTGTGGAAAGTTGGGAGTTGTTCTAATGAAACCAGAATTCTTCCCTAAGCTCTGCAATATTGAACTGATTGTCATTTTCATTAGTGCTACTTTCTTTTCTTCCCCTCTCCCAGGCTGTTGAGCACATCTTTCAGTGAGCTCACCCTGTGTCTATTCTTGGTTTTGGATGGGTGTTGTGGATGGCAAAAGATGAGAGAAGTGAGTCTCCTTCCTGAACAGTTGTGTCTTCAGACTCTGGCAATGGGAGGCACAGAGGTGCCCTCTTTGCTGCTCCCTTTCCTAAAGTGCAGCCAGCTGGGGCTCAGCCGGACCCCACAGATCAGAAAGGGCCACCTCAAGGTTGCTTTAAACTGAGGCTTAATGGAAGTCCCTGCTCATCAAATTGCGGAGTTTTCCCAGCAGGCAGTGACACTCCAACTGTGTCCTTCTCTTCCGATTCCCTCCTTCCCTTTGCCTCCACCCCCTGTGCTTTGGGGCTGGGCAGATCTCCCCCAGCTCCAGCTGGGCCCTTTCCATGCTGCAGACATGTGACACCTGCATTGATCAGCTTTGGGGTTGCTTTGTGTCTTCTGGAGCTGCACGAGACAGTTGGGACACGAAGATCCAAACAGCAGTTGGAGTTGCCTGGGAGAACATGGATGGTTTTGCTTGCTTAGGGAGAGCCAGGTGAGAAAGGGAAAACTGCACAACAGTTTGGAAGAGCTGACTGATCATCTGTGAGCAGGGAATTCACCTCACTGTAGAGGTCTCACTCCAGGTCTTTCCAAAACCTCAGCCTTAGCATGAGATCCAGGCTGTGCTTAAGATCTCTGGGAAGAACTCTGTGGTAGAGGAGATTTCCTGCTGCAAAACTACAGCTTACTTATACTTCTAAAAAAAGAAGACTATATAAAGATGGGGGAAATGGGTCATGTGAAATCTAGCTGTAGATTATCATTTAAAATTACTACCTGCAATCACATTAACCCATTTTAGACCAATTTCAGTTTTACACAGAAAAAGACACAATTTAGATCAAGTATGCCATTTTTATATAGTCTCAAGGGTAATTATGCTTGTGTTTTTTTTTTTGTTTTTTTTTTTTGGTTTTGGTTTTCTTTTCATTCTGTGTAAATCAACTGGACTTTTCAGTACTGTAATTAAAGTCAACATTATTTATGTGACAAGTTGAATTCCTCCTGTTGAAGGAATTCTACGATAAAATGACACTGAAATTCCTGGTGAAAACCTACAGGAGACATTTGAAAAATCGCACTGTGAATTTTCTCTTTCGAACCATTTTCCAGATATATGTGAGTACTAGGAATTGGATCCATTTTTGTGTTACTTTACTGCTATGACTTGCACTGCTTTTCTAAAAAGCTCACTTTGTAATATTTTTTTCTTTTTGACAATTCCTGCCCCTACAGTTTTGAGAATAAAATGGCATTTTCATTAACTGTCAGCGAAGGCAAATATCTGTGAGTTGTTTGTTTGTTGGTTGAAGTTTTTTTGTCATGTCATTCTGTATTTTCTGCAGTTGAAGCATCTGGATTATGGAATTTAGCCTGGTCATCATAAAGCACTTGAGTGAAGGGACAGGGTTTGAAGGTTTGAGCCACTTTGCACAGTTGAGGAAGCTTTGAAGTTCCTCTGCTTGCAATGAACTCTGTGTTCCTCCTGCAAAGTTCTGTCACCCTCTTACATTTTCGTCACCTTTCCAGATTAGGGGAAAAAAAAAAAGCTTAAGTGGGGGAAAATGAAAGTTCTTTTAAGATCTTGCTGAGGCTGAAATGTAGAGGGAATCAAATCACTGCTTTGTTCCTGTCTTTAGCTGGGGACAAAACCAGAGATGATCTTTCTTAAACATGATAGCCATAAAAGTTATTTTGCTTTCTTTGCTGGTTCTACTTACAGTTAAAAATTACTCTGTGGGATTTTTCTCTGTAGTTTTGAAAAGGTCTGAAGTTGAACTTTAAAAATCTGAAATTTTGTATCTGAATTCTTGAAACCCTTTGCACAATTAAAATATTTTTCCTTCCTATAACTTGTTTCCAACCAAACATTAGCTTGGCTACCATATAAAAGGGGATATTCTTGTGCTGTAAGGTGTGGAAAATGTAAATACCTGCCAAATTCTGAGACAATGAGACACAAAGGCCACTGAGAATGAAGAGAGAAAAGGAGAGAAAAATGGAAGATACGGCAGTTTATTCTTTTTAGTAATGATAGTTGCCAAACATACCTTAATGTCTGAGATTTCTGATGTTTGTTGGCTTTTTTACTGTCATCAGGTGAGTGAATATGACCTTTATGCAAAATAAACCGAGTACAATTTTTTTTCAAACTAAAAATAACCTCTTAATTTTCAACTTGTGTTAAAGAAACCTTTTTCCAGAGTTCTCTGCTGTCCTGCCATATAATTGAAGTGAAGGAATGAAAAGATACTCAAATATGTCAGTCACGCCAAAGCCAAGGAAATCAAGATTTGGCCTTTTGCCTGCATTTTATAGAAAAACTGTCACAACTATC